ATGCAAGCAGTGCTGACGCTCTCACGAGGATGTGTTAGTCGCGACGAATCGGTGCTTATGAGTAGTTTAAGAGCCATGATTGTAAAGCAAACACCCTGAGGAGTTTATATGACCTGAGTAACTATGAATGGCGTTTTGGTAGTTGTTCATTACAATCCATTCCGTTTAAGCGTAGATGGAAGGAAGTGTTTGCGGTCTAACAGTTCAAGCTTCTTGGATAGTATTTTATTCAACAACAGTTCATAGATCCATACACTGTATGAGCTGGAGTAGCGCTTATATGTTATCAAGCTCACTGGTTTTCCATGTGGCGCACACTTAAGGCGTCTACCGATCCTTAAAATTTCATTTTTATACTCGCAGTCAGAGGCTTATTCCAGGTCAGGTAGAGATCCTGAAACGTCCTACTCGATTGAGCCATTCCCCAAACCTTGGCCAAATTAATTTTTGTAAAAGGTATTCTCAGTAGTTCCTTTATGCGCCTCTAAATCGGGAGTTGCCTTTTCATCAGGCATCATTTTTAATTATCTACTACGAAAGCATAAGTGTTGTAGGAAGAATTTGATAACTGTTTTGTCCAAAGTAATTCAAAGGTCACCAAGGCCGTCTAACTCTTCATATTTTGCTTGTTAAATTGAGATACAGCGCACCTTTAGAAATTTGTTGCTTTTGCTTCCAAACCTTTGGCCCAGTTAAAACCAGTCATAAAGAAATGTCTTCGCGAAACTTTACTGTGACTTCTGGGAATACCCGAGGATTCTGTTTATCAATTCGCACAAAAATGCATATCCTCTTTACTCGAGTAACACCATGTCAACATTTTCACATTTGTTTCTTCATTGTAAGATTTTGCATCTTTGAACATGTCACTTTACTTCATCCGCAGTTGATATTGTAAACTGCTGAAAATGTACCCAGCTGGGTACCTAAAGCTTAACTTGATTGAGTTGACTTGAGCTTGAGATGTTCATTGCGAAAAACTTGACAAGGTAGATGTAAAAAAGCACTGCTGAACTGTCAATCAACACCACCGGTGTTTCGAAATGTTTTAAAGATATTTTCAGACTGCATATGGATAGTCCACTTCGACGGGAATCGTATTCCTGAATGAGATAGTGCGTCGCAATCGATTCACATGAGTGCCACAACATGACCCCTGCAATCAGTCATACATTGATGCAGTTGAGGTGGTTGAAATCCATATTCTATTCACTCTGCTATTTTGTAAAGAGGAATATGGCATTCTGGGTTGGTTTTAGAACCTTGTATTATGGAGTTACCGTTTAGGCGGCAATTAAGCATCCTCAGGGTTGAACGCTTTACCGTGCCCCAAATAGTTAAAATGGGCTAATTTTGTATCGAATGACATTTCTAGCCTAAATGCGTCTTCGGTAGTCACTGAATCTATGATTGTCAATTGAAACCCAGGAAAAATAAAATAATCCGGACGCCTGACAGGAAATTCATGTCGTTCATATGAATATGAATATGAATATTACGATCCACACAGTTGAAAAGCTGAGAATCTCTGAAATTGGGAGCAGAAGTCAACTTCGTACACAGTGTTCACATGGTGATAAACAATCCATGTGAGAATTAACCTCACCACCAGCTGCATCAACATTTATGTCGGTTGCATTCGGATGAATTTTCAATACGGTACCTCTGTACCAACTCCCCGATTGCTGTCACTGTACAAGTCCACTGGTATAGCAGGTGCTTACGCTGTCTTTATAGGGAAGCAGGTAAACTTGCTGAAGTTTGCAGCATGTGTTACATAAAATCAAGCTTCTTCAGTAATTTCTTGTTTGTATATCTAACACTACCATCCCCTTATGCCACTGGCTCAACGTTACGCAAGGTGACACCAATATAGCTATCGTAGTGGAATCTCAGCCTAGCGAAATAACAGACCACACATTATTAGTTTGTATACAAGCCGAGCCAAGAGTCTGGCATAAATAGTAAAAGCTCGATGCATTTATTTGGAATGTGTTTGCATCGTTAAAAGGTGCCATATTGCACAGTCCGCGAAGGTTGTTGGACCAGAGTTGGTCTCTTGTTAAACCGTTTGTTAAAAGAGAAACGAGTGAGATGATGACGATGGACAGATGCTGATATAAAACTGATAGTATGTTCACTCTATGAATGCAATCTCGTTCCAGGGCGCCTACATCCAAGTAGTGACTACGCATTTTGACCCACTGGGCACTGGGAATCCAGTCCAGCTTTTGGGTGTACCGATAAAATCTCATCAGGCATTGTAGAATGCCAATCCAATGAAGCGTTAAAAAGTCTCAAATAAATATTCTATGCTTTTTCAGCTACCAGTAGTTTAAATTCTCATTACCATTAGCCACAAGCAGACCTTGCGTGAGTGTGACCCACTGCTCTTAAAGTGATGATGGCAGCAAACCGGCCAACTATGCGAATTTATAGATCATAAAAAGCAGTCTGTATGGTTGCTAATCAATTTGGCTAGGACAGAGTCGACACAATTCACGGTCACCACCAGTCCTCCTCCAGTAGGATGCTAAGACGGAATCCGAGAACCAGTTAGCATCAACTTGCCTCCTAGGACAGCAGTAAGGTAATCAGCAGGCGCCCCCAGGCGGATCTCAGGGAGCAACGGAGGTACGTAATTTGTCACGTTATGTTGAATTTGAGTCTCATTCACACAGCTAAAGCTGATCACTTACAACATCAGGTGCTCGTGCAGTTAGTTCACAGTGTGTTTCAACTAATTTCCCTTATTAGGTGCCACGGATCATACTTTCAAATGTGTCATAAAAGCAAAGTTAGAAATAAGCCTGCTGACTTACGTAAAGGGAAGTCATATGGAGTAAGCCGACCCAAAGTCCCCTTACTGCTTATTGATTTCATTTCTATGTAAATATAATCCGGTCAACACCCTTATTGCATGGATTTTAACTCTTTATTTTACTGAAACTTTTACCACTATATTTCACAATTGAAACGGGAAGAACAACTGACTGTCTCACCACTACATCAGTTACAATAGAGTACTATGGGGTATATTGTGTTTTCGTGAAGATTCATTGCAGTTAATCAGCTAGACAGCCAGTACACATCTAGAAAAGCACTAGACGGCCATTTATTTCCATTGGGGTCCAGACATCTTATACGTACGTTTATAACATGCGTGACAATGGAGGATGAGCTGCGGTATTTGGCAGTTAAGAATCAATTATACAATCTGTCGCCGTCACTTGTGGGTCAGTGGCACTAGTCGCTGATTCATATGAATAGGTTTATAGGTTCGGATCCGGCAGATGTGCACTGATGACGAGTCCCAGTTTGAGGAAACGACGATCTAGCTCTTTCCTAATGATGTGGTGGTTGTCTGGCCGAGTCTGCCTGCGACGAATATCCTCGAAATCAACTGCAACTCTTCACTGCAGGCGCTGCAGAATTGGTGCTTAAACGCGAACACACTGTTGGATTAAAAAAATATCAACGTTGAGTATAAAGTCAGGGACTTCTCAACAATGAGTTCGCTCTCTGTTAACTTTACTCCATTTTTATCGCAGCACAGCACTAGTTTCGTTTATTGTGGGCTAATCAAGGTTTTCCTTTGGTTACAAAATCACAGCGTCCATTAGCAGTAGGGGGATATATTGTATTTTTGAAAATATTTCTGGATATGTAGGGGTCAACCATCTGTAGCTAGATGAGACGAATCTTCACGAAAGCCTTATGATTGATAATTCATGGTCCAGTGTGTAGCTGGAAAGTTGTAATTAACATCTTTACCTACTAAAATCGGTCTGCTCCATTTTATGTTACTGTGGATTGCAGGAGAGCCACTATGTACAGTAGTATGCTTCGCGTTTTCTATAAAATCAACTGTTGGAAGCATATTGATCCACGGTTTGGAACAGTGAAAATACCACAACACACGAAAACACGAGGTCGCGTGCTATTCAAACTTTAAGGATTTAACATATTTGCTGCAGTTGTTGAAATAGTTAAGTGACATCCCATTGCACCATGCGAAAACCGTGTACTTTGTTTATGAACAACTGTAAAAGAGGTTTTGGAAGAACTCATTGATGCGGACCATCAATAGCTGTACGCGTCAGAATAGCTGCTAGAATTCTTGCAAGTACAGCACTGAACCATTTTCTTTGTTAATCACATCATTCATGGCTGTCGGCGACTGGAATCTCAACTCTGTCTTCACACCAGTGAAAAGTTGGATACCTATACACATGGACAGTCGATAACTTATTATGAATGACCTAAAAAGGAAGGCGGATACATCGGTTGTAGGAAATTCCTGAAACTGTTGACAACGGGCTTGTGCAACATGCTAATCTTTTAGCTGAAATCAATCCTTTAGGTGTCCGTTATTTTGTAGCCACCCGGTTTTGAGTGTCTTCACTCACAAGAGCACTGATATTCTGTTCGATTTATGCCATCAGCTATAACATTCCCACAATATCAGGCACGGGTTAGGGTTTCTTCTGTTCTCCGTTTTGCCTGTACAACTGGTTCATCTCGTTCGTTAGTGATTCGCGATGAGGTTCTCTTAGTGTCGCCAGAGAAATAAAATGAAGAGTTGTAAAAAGACCATTTCTTTCCATGTAGACTCCATACAAAATTTGAAACATGGGTGATAGTAGAGCCATAGAGGGATCATGATAGAACAGATTGAGGCGAAGTATGTTATTGAGCTCCTTAGCACAAGCAGCTGTGGAAAATAATGCACTTAAACTGAGCTCAATCGCTTTAACAAAGCTGCTCCTCCAAAGCATTTCTACAAGTAATTTTATGTGGAACAACCCAGGGATTGAACAAATAATTCAAAACAAACAGTTGAATTGCGCAGGAAGCAGATTAACGTCTATCTCTAGGATTGCCTTATTACTGTACGCATACTGAATTCTTCCTTGTCTGACGTTACGCTTAAAACGATGAGTGGAATCTAGCCGTGATGATTTCTTTGTGCATTAGTAGATTCTTTTTGTCTTTCACAGTGTCCCAGGTAGGTTCGGAGAACGGCAGCACGGGGTCCAGCACTACGGCACCACAGCCAACTGCCGCCACTCCGCCAACTGTCCGTAACACCACAAAGCCAGCAACGTCGCCTTCGCCTCAGACAACCACAACAACCACAAGAGCTACACCAACCACAACAGCCCCAAGAGCCACACCAACCACAACAGCCCCCAGAGACACACCAACCACAACAGCCCCAAGAGATACACCAACCACAACAGCCCCAAGAGCCACACCAACCACAACAGCCCCAAGAGCCACACCAACCACAACAGCCCCAAGAGACACACCAACCACAACAGCCCCAAGAGACACACCAACCACAACAGCCCCAAGAGCCACACCAACCACAACAGCCCCAAGAGACACACCAACCACAACAGCCCCGGCAACCACAACAACGGTAAAGGTGACAACCAGCTCAGGCGACTCAGTTCCGAAGTCGGCAACCCAGGCAACAGCATCCCTACAGGCTGCTGGTGGGGAATCGGCTGCATTCAGCGTTCACTGGGAAAAGAAACATTTGGTCTGGTCAGCATGTCTCGTGCTCCTGCTTAATTGACCCCTTTGTGATTTGCGTGTAACCGTTGCCCAGTTCACATTCCCTCATTTGTATTCAAATGGATCAGGCAACTTGATTCCCTGAACCACACAAATTTTCCAATTGTTTATCATCAGAGTTTATTGCCAGCATATATTGTGAAGGGAACAGAATATTTGGTTAAGGCAGAAAAATTCATTAGTTTAATTACGCAACCATCTCCCATAGCATTATTGCACTTGGCTCTCGCAACTTCATCAGCATTTTGCATATCATTAACTGTGCCCAACCTCAATGAAGACACCGTGATATACTTGATAACAGCCAAAAGCTGTTATCAGTTGTTGGAGTTTATGATGTACCTTCAATATTATACCTTCAATATTATATAATCCTGGTAAATAAACTGGTGATCCGTATACATAAAATGCAGAACTGAGGGATATTAATACCGAAACTGACCGCATTCGCAGAAACGATGTTACACCAGCCTGGTTGACCACTAAATAAGTGCTTATGTACAGGGATTCCTTTGGCACTTTAAACACACCAAGCACCACTTATGCCCAGACAAACGTCATCGCTTCGATGGCGCAACCGAAAGTATATCCCTTGATAACAGAATGTTCTGGTGACTTAACTGTGGATGTTGGAAAGTTGACAGAATTATCAGTAGGGCGCTTATCTCTAAGATGTGAGGTCATGTTTGGTCGAAAGTTCGCCTTAGTATGTTATGGCAGATAAGCGAATGCCTCAGCGACCTGGTAAGTAGTTTGAAACGATTTATCGGACAACATTAAGTCCAATGTGGTAGAATGCAAACAGTAATGAACCTCCGAACTAATTAGGGTTAGACGGAGGATGATCTCACACGCGGGACGCAAAACGATTGTCTCCAGACTATGGTGAATAACGCTTTCATATGGAATGACCTCCGTAAATCGTCCCAGTGTAACTGCAATATATTTGATGGCAGAGAAGTGTACATTCTCACAATTGATCCGGAGTTTGGGAGAATCCGTGACAAGTTTCTGGTAGGGAGATGTTTTATGAAGTTAAAAAAGAGTGCATTTACAATCGATGCATTCAGCATTAAACGACATGGTTTGCTAACGGCATATCCCGTAACCTGAGGATTAGCCTAGCAGTGCCATTTACATAGAGTTCAATAGCGTATGGTGGAAAAGCCAATAGCTTCACATGACCTATATGGTAAAAATGCAAAGAAACTTAGCGTTTCGTCGTGGAACGTAAAACGTAGACGTAGTACAGATACTGAAACTTAGCATACAGTTGTGTAGTGTTTATCACTTATATGAAAGTATAAAGGCCTATTGAATGTTGGGATCTTTGGTGTGTACACCACATGTTTTGTCAATGCAAACCAAGGGGAACAGACTATGTGAGAGTAAAACATTTTCTGCACTTCAAATAGGTATGTTACTTTACTATTATGTAAGAAGCTAGGGTAAGCAGTGATGTACGTGGGTGCTAGCTCTCAGTTTGTATCCGGTAGGTGAGAATGAGATCACCGCGAAGAGAACACACCGAGTAAACGAATGAGCATTTCGTAATTGAGACCGGGTAGTTCACACGTTGCATTGGTGGCTTTCTTTGGGGCTGCTCCAAGAGACAAACGTCTCGCTTTAATCATGAACATCAGGCCTGAACTGCATATTCAGCATGGAGACGAATGTACGAGCGAATCAACAGGGGTAATTGCCGTCGCTCAAATGTGGCCTCAAAAACCTCAAGTTCAAGTTCACCACATTTGCTGCTTTCAAACATGGCAGCGAATTGCCAAGACCTTTTGTACGACGATCCCTAATCCGCGTTCATTAGTCACGTGTTACAGGACGTATTGCTTCAAAAGATTTGTATTGTTGAAGCTGGTACACACCGTCAGCATGTGGCACATTGCATCATTCAGTAGGAGCTGATGCATTTCCACCCATTTATTAATCCGATCCAGATCGCTCTGAAAATATGTATGGGGGGATGCTGAGCGAATTGCTCTCCTTATTTTAGCATCGTCTGCGGATATTTGCATCGCAGATATAAGGTTTGCTGGATTACAATGATTACAATGATTTATAACGGGTAAAAAAGCAGGTGCTTGACATGTCCCTTAGGGTGTTTAGCGTAACAAAAATGATAGCGAAGGAATAATGGAGTCGTCAGTTCAGACGCTTACAGATGTAACTGCACTGTCGTCTAAAGGGAGTTTGAAATGAGAATGTACGCACACAAAGCAACAGGGGAGTGGTTATTGTTCACATCATAGGCGAGAAAATTAAAAAAGAAAGCAAGGACAACGCTTACTCGTGTGCAACTATCTTGCGTCGACAGGATACAGAAATCCAGCTTCTATAGTAGTAGCGTTTATCAAAGTTCGTGCAAGGCGTTTGGAATGTTATTGAGGTAGGCTAAAAACAGTAGCGGGCCGAGGACGGATGTTTTCGTGACACCACTGGATACGCACAGGCTTTCGGAGTGTGTGTCGGCTAATTTTACCTTCTGCCGTGTAAACAATCTTCCAACCAGGTGAGCAGGGAACCGTTGATGACGTAGCAAGCCGCAAGCTTTTGAAGGAGAAAGAAGTGATTGACCCTGTCCAAAATTTTAAGTAAATCACATATATAGGAACTGCTTCATCAGCAGCCGTGGTCCATGAATCCCGAGTACACAGCAGTTTGGTGAGACAAAATATCCTGCATCTAAAACCATTTCAGTCATTAGAAATTATTTGCAGACTATCAAAATATCGCATCAGTTCATCTATGATTACCCATTCCATCTACTTTGATAAAACAGGAAGGAGAGTAGTAGGCCGGTAGTTGACAAGATTCGATCGCTTACCTCCTTTGTATATTGAAGTGATACTTCCATATTTCTACTTAGACGGATGTATGGGAGTTAAGCAGATCCTAGAAAAACGCTGCAATGTGTACAGCTATGGTGGGGATAAGTTTTAAGTGCCTTTGGACACATCTTGTCGATTCCCGAGGCACTGTTTTCCCGGAGGGACTGTAACTTGCTTGCGACAGCTGACGGGGTAACACTGACACCGGATAAGCCGACGACATTTGTTGGGTGTCGACTGGGCAAAGGTATCGCGGTTTTTGTAGCTACTGAGCCAAACTACAGTAGCAATGCTTTCGTGATATCCGCAGCAGTATTCGTTAGGCCACTGGCCATCGTGAGTGGTGGCATCCCAGGCTTAACCGTTTTGCCATTCACATATCTGTATGGTAGTTTGGTGGTACTAATAAACCTGAGTACCATGAGTTGCTGACATTCGCACTTATTGATTGTATTGTGTGACAAGCAGTAGCTGTGATTGTTTTGTAATCCTGCCCTGAGGGTTTAGCGCAGATTGCCTCCAAATCTCATCTGATGAGCAATGTATGTGTTCTGATTCGGATACTAGTGTTGGCCCTGCGCGATGCTCGTAATGTTAACACATTTGAGGCTTATTGTTTAACACAGTGAATATTAATTTCGCTCAATTCCATGCGTCGTTCACCGAACTGTGCGTCTGTAGGTACCAGTTTGGATCATCTGTACCTGAGGTCTTTACTGCTTAGAGGAATGGTCTTTACAGCGCTTCTGGTGGCATGACAAGAGAAAATTCGCTTGTCATGCCACGCATGGATCCCTGTCGATACCATCTTGGGCGTAGCTAAAATTCAAAATGTTTGACCCGCTGCTTGGTTGTTTGGGAGGCAACTAGACGGGTGAACTTAAAAGCAACGAAATTTTACAAGTTGTGAATCTCTGTGATCTACCTCCATCCCTAAAGGTTGTGATTTTGTCGTTCACTGTTATCGTCATGCTTTAATTCTGGCACACCATGAACCACATTCTTCCTCTCATTTCGACCTGACGCGCACGAGTCGTAGTTCCACTTCTCTCTTTCTGTGTATGGCTTTTCGGAAGCCTCTCAGGTCCGGCAGGTTTCGTACCGTCAAGGCTGTTGAGTAGTTGATATACCTCTTCAACACTGCAATCCAGACTGTCTAATGCGGTAAAAGCGATACAGGTGGAACTCGGAACAGACACCTGGTCATATGCAAGTACAGAAGCGAAGTACTCTGCCAACGCGGAAGCATGCTCAGTGCTGGAGTTTAGGGGTTATACATCCGGGCCATCCAGCACTGGCACATCACCTGTCGGCTTCACGTAAGCAAGGATTCTCGTTGAGACGGTCTTTCCGGTGATTGCGAGCTACTTTTCGAAATGTCGGCGCGTATTCCTTTTTGCACTACTGTAGAGGTTTCACTGACTTTTATACTCTATCTGGGAGCTATTGTTTGAAATCAAATAAGGACCTGTTCCACCTGAATTCTGACCGATCTGACAAAATATTAGTCGTAATTATATCTGCGTGATGCGCTTCGAATGCATTATGAGACACCAAGCTCACTGAAGTCTAACGGTCTTCTGTTTTTACCGGCGTTATCCAATGTAATGAAGTCGTGTTCACATCCTTTCACTTTCGGTTCTACTGTCAAGCAATCAGTACCTCGAGTACTATTATCATCTTTCAGCAACATTTTAGTATTCTACAATACGAAACTTAACTGCCCTTCATCTGTGTAGATATCCTTTGTCCCCATCTACATACCTGCATATTGACTCACTTCTTTTAGTCACATTCGCATCTTTGTTTTACGTGCTTCTTACCCAGTAGTCTTACCCCAATCATATTGTCGCTTCGCTTACTATATCCTAATGAAGAATGCTTGTATCCAACATATTTACTAACTTTATAGGCATTTAAATAAAATGACGACATCATCACAAGTAGAGGAGGATTCCAGGTTTACAATTGCGTATCCCATGCCATTCTTTTTGTTTATTGCCTCGTCATCACATTCGCGGAGGTCTAATAGAAAATCAATTATTGCTTACTTGGATCATTCCTGGAATCCTATGGCCACAGATGAAGCAATTCCGAAATGCTTGGAACAAGGATCCAATTTCACACACTGCCTTGGCTTTTACGAGATAAAACAAATGGAATATTCTTTGGCATGCTTTGTGCACTTTATCCGCGGTTTCCTGATGATCAACTCACTTGTACAAGAAGATTCTCGTATTCTAAATTGAAGGTTTGCTTACCGATATTTTGCCTTATTATTCATTATTTTGTCTCTTCGACACTCTATGGAATTTTCCACCTCCTTTGTGGATCCCGCTGGGGGACCGATTCTTACACTTAGAACTCTTTGCATCATGAAAATAATCCATTCTGTACAATATCCTACCGGTTTTTCCCTAGCAAGATATCCTTGCATCCCGAAGAGAGTCACAGCCAACTGATATATAACCATTCTTCAAAATGATTCCATTAGCTATTCCCTGAAACATTTTATCATTTCGTCTTGGATGCCGTTTGGATGTCAACCCTCTCCTGCCGAAATATTCCTA